CAATCGGGCACGGCTGATGGTTTGGAAAACATATGAATTCATGGGATTTATAGAAATAACAATATTTTTTATGTTTTGTTTTATGGAGTTTTATAGAATTTATGGAAATAGTAAAGGTTTTCCTGCTTCCCATAAAATCGACCAGCTTTTCATAAATATTCTTCTGGCGAGCGCACCTGGGAGGACGAACTCAATTGATCAAGAGTTCTCCGACGCCAAGCTGGGAAAACGCTCCAAATCGCCCAGCCGCACATTGTGGCATAGAAATAAATATTTTCATTTGATGTAAATTCATATGTGGCGCATCTAGAAGATGTGTCTTAAGATTGTGTTTCTTAAGATGGTGTAGCAGTTTCTGCTGTATCTCAATATGGTGTATCTCAGGTGTTTCATAAGGAGGGGGCGAAGGACAGCCGCCTCCCACATATATATATATATATATATATATATATATACATACAGTTAGCTATATCTGTAGCTATAGCTATAGCTACGTATGTATGTATGTATGCATGTATGTGCATGTATGTATGTTATGTATGTATGTATGTATGTATATATATAATATATATATATATATTATATATATATATATATATATATATATATACTAGAACCACGCGCGCGCTTCGCGCGCGCTTAGGTTCTGTCGAGTCACAGACCCAGGAATCGTTGTGAGAAGAAATTGGTGACGCGAAGCGTCGTGGGGGCGTCCTTGGACGTCTGGGGTCTCCTGGGGCCTCTTGAGGGGCCTCCTGGGGGCCTCCTGGCGGCCTCTTGGGGCGGAAGGCTCGAGCTTGCGGTTCGTGGTCCCCCTCTGGGCCCCCTCTTGGGCCCGTCTTGGGGCCCTCTTGGGCCATCTTGGGCGCCTCTTGGGCCGTCTTGGGGCCCTCTTGGGCTGTCCTTGGGCCTCCTTTGGGCCTCTTGGGGGTCTCCTGGGGCCTCTTGAGGGGCCTCCTTGGGGCCTCCTGGCGGCCTCTTGGGGCGGAAGGCTCGAGCTTGCGGTTCGTGGTCCCCCTCTGGGCCCCCTCTTGGGCCCGTCTTGGGGCCCTCTTGGGCCATCTTGGGCGCCTCTTGGGCCGTCTTGGGGCCCTCTTGGGCTGTCCTGGGGCCCTCTTGGAAGCTTCTTGGGCCGTCTTGGGGCGGTCTTGGGCGCCTCTTGGGCCGTCCTGTAACGTCGGAAAGCCCAAAAGGCGACTTTGTGAAAAATGTACGTTTTACGAAGGGAATGGGCCAATTTTTGCGTCTAGGGGCCCTCTTGGGACGCATGTTGGAGGCTTCTTGGGGCGTCTTGGGGGCGTCCTTGGACGTCTGGGGTCTCCTGGGGCCTCTTGAGGGGCCTCCTGGGGGCCTCCTGGCGGCCTCTTGGGGCGGAAGGCTCGAGCTTGCGGTTCGTGGTCCCCCTCTGGGCCCCCTCTTGGGCCCGTCTTGGGGCCCTCTTGGGCCATCTTGGGCGCCTCTTGGGCCGTCTTGGGGCCCTCTTGGGCTGTCCTGGGGCCCTCTTGGAAGCTTCTTGGGCCGTCTTGGGGCGGTATTGGGCGCCTCTTGGGCCGTCCTGTAACGTCAGAAAGCCCAAAAGGCGACTTTGTGAAAATGTACGTTTTACGAAGGGAATGGGCAATTTTGCGTCTAGGGGCCCTCTTTGGACGCATGTTGGAGGCTTCTTGGGGCGTCTTGGGGGCGTCCTTGGACGTCTGGGGTCTCCTGGGGCCTCTTGAGGGGCCTCCTGGGGCCTCCTGGCGGCCTCTTGGGGCGGAAGGCTCGAGCTTGCGGTTCGTGGTCCCCCTCTGGGCCCCCTCTTGGGCCCGTCTTGGGGCCCTCTTGGGCCATCTTGGGCGCCTCTTGGGCCGTCTTGGGGCCCTCTTGGGCTGTCCTGGGGCCCTCTTGGAAGCTTCTTGGGCCGTCTTGGGGCGGTATTGGGCGCCTCTTGGGCCGTCATGTAACGTCGGAAAGCCCAACAGACAACTTTGTGAAAAATGTACGTTTTACGAAGGGAATGGGCCAATTTTTGCGTCTAGGGGCCCTCTTGGGACGCATGTTGGAGGCTTCTTGGGGCCTCTTGGGGGCGTCCTTGGACGTCTGGAGGCCATCTTCAGCATCTCGGAGCCCTCTTGGAGGCCTCTTGGAAGTTTCTTGGGCCGTCTTGGGCGCTGCTTGGGCCGTCTTGTCTGACTCCGGCAAGCCCCGACGAGCCTCCGGCCCCCCCGGGGTGCATATACACACGCATGTGTAGATATACAGAGACAGCCAGGGGCTCTCCTTCCCCCAAGCGGGACCCCCCTGGATCCTTGGCCCCGGGGACCCCCTGGACGCCCTTGCAGAGGGTCCCCCTGGACGCCCTTGCAGAGGGCCCCCAGAGACTTCCAGGCCTCCTGCGCGTCCCTGCCGGCCCAAAGCGGTCAGGAGGGTGGCCAAACGGCTCCGCGAGAGTCCCACGCGGCAGTAGACACCCACCGGACGCCCGAAGACGGCCCAATCAGAGGCTGCAGCGTGGAATGGGGATTCCCCGCTGCAATGTCCCAGCGAAAATCCGCGGGTCACGCCCGGAGGCCGCGAGGGGGACATCCACTTCGACGCCATATATCCTCTTTGACGTCCACCAACCAATTCCCCCCCGTCCTCCGCAACAAGCACCTGCTCGTGCACCTCCCCGAGCAGCACCACCCTGGCATCCCCCTTCCCCATCGTCCTCCTCTTCCTGGCCATCCTAGTCTTCCTCCTCCTCCTCCTCCTCCTCCTCCTCCTCCTCGTCCTGCTGCTCATCCTCCTCCTCATCCTCCTCCTCGTCCTGCTGCTCCTCTTCCTCCGCCTTTACCTCCTCCTCGTCCTCCCCCCTCCTCCTCCGCCTGCCCCTGCACCAGATCATGAATAAGACGCGGTAGGCTGCATGAGTAAAACGGCGCCGATGCACCTACATCCGCGGGCAGCTTGCGCGCGGGTGAACGCGCAATCGATCCCCGCGGCATCGCCCCCCCAACTTCAAAGTAGGCGGTGCAACGGGCCGCTTCTGTCAAAGCCTCTTCTCCCCCCTCGGGGGCGGTTAACCCACCCATCCCGCTAGCAGACCGTGGAGGCTTTGGATCAGGATTCCAGTGTCTGGAGCCTTGTGGAGATCCACTTGCGTGGAACGGGGGGGCAGAAGTTGTCCGCCCCCAATCATTGTGAGCTCCGTCCCTCCGTCTCCTCTCCCTCCCCCCCTACTTCCTCCTCCTTCCCGCCTCCCTCCTCCCTCCTCCCTCCCCCCTCCCTCCCACCCTTCCTCCGCCTCAGTTCCCCTGGAGGAGGACGGCAAGTGAGCTGTGCGGTTGCGGTTGCGCGCCCGCGGGCGGGTTGAAATGTGTCGCCTAGTTGGGGTTGCGGTTGCGCGCCCGCGGGCGGGTCGAAATGTGTCGCCCAATTGCGATTGCGCGCCCGCGGGCGGATTGAAATGTGTCGCCCAGAAGCGGTTGCGGTTGCGCTCCCGCGGGCGGGTCGAAATGTGTCGCCCAGGTGCGGTTGCGGTTGCGCGCCCGCGGGCGGATTGAAATGTGTCGCCCAATTGCGGTTGCGGTTGCGCGCCCGCGGGCGGGTTGAAATGTGTCGCCCAGTTGCGGTTGCGGTTGCGCGCCCGCGGGCGGGTTGAAATGTGTCGCCCAGTTGCGGTTGCGCGCGCCCGCGGGCGGGTTGAAATGTGTCGCCCAGTTGCGGTTGCGGTTGCGCGCCCGCGGGCGGGTCGAAATGTGTCGCCCAGTTGCGGTTGCGGTTGCGCGCCCGCGGGCGGGTTGAAATGTGTCGCCCAAAGTGCGGTTGCCCGCGGCGGCGCGCCCAAATGTGTCGCCCAGGTGCGGTTGTGGTTGCGCGCCCGCGGGCGGATTGAAATGTGTCGCCGCGGTCGCGGCGGTTGCGGTTGCGCGCCCGCGGGCGGGTCGAAATGAAGTGTCGCCCAGTTGCGGTTGCGGTTGCGCGCGCCGCGGGCGGTTTGAAATGTGTCGCCCGGTTGCGCCGCGGGCGGGTCGAAATGTGTCGCCCAGTTGCGGTTGCGGTTGCGCGCCCGCGGGCGGGTTGAAATGTGTCGCCCAGGTGCGGTTGTGCGCCCGCGGGCGGTTTGAAATGTGTCGCCCAGTTGCGGTTGCGGTTGCGCGCCCGCGGGCGGGTTGAAATGTGTCGCCCAGGTGCGGTTGTGCGCCCGCGGGCGGTTTGAAATGTGTCGCCCAGTTGCGGTTGCGGTTGCGCGCCCGCGGGCGGGTCGAAACGTGTCGCCCAGTTGCGGTTGCGCGCCAGCGGGCGGATTGAAATGTGTTCGAGGTGCCCTCCTGACGTGCCGTCAGTCAATCAGTCAGCCGCGGGCACGGAATTTCACCCGGCTCCGCGGGGCGAGACCACACGCAAGAGACGGTAGAGGGAAACAAGTAGTGAACACCCCCCCTGCCCCCAAAACTCAAAGTTGGCACGCGGGGGGGAGACTGCGGCCGAGGTGCAACTCATCAGACCCACCGCCAACTTTGAACATTGGGGGAAGGGGGAGGCGTTCACAGATGAATGTGGCATGAGTGTTCGCTAATTTTTTCCGAGGCCTGGATCTTCAAATTGTAAAACGTGAACGTTTGCCTTTGTTTTTAGATCGGATGTTTGGGTACTCGTTTCTTCTGTCTTCCCGGCGTCCGAGACTGCGCAAGAGACCCCGAACGTCGTCCCAGGACGACCACAAAGTGCTTGCACTCAGTCCAAGAGAGCTTCAATTTTTTTTTGCATGTGCTGACTGAACGCGCCTGCATGTAATGTGCAGTGCGTGCACCGCCTGGCCCTCACTGCATCGCGCGGCGCACAAATCAGGCACGACTTCGCTTGCTTTGATATCGTTTGCGTGGCAGTCTGCTGTTCTGGCCCATCTGCTCCATGCCCCTGATCTACCCCCCGTCGTTGGTGGAAACAGCAAGGATCTGGCTCCGTGCGTGATCACACTTGCGGATGAATTCGAGGAAGGATGCAGTCTTCTGCAGCCGCCCAGACAAGGCGACCACTCAGACCAGCTGCCTTTCAGGGAGAAGCGAGACTGTGGCGCAGCAAGGGACAAACAAACACACGCATACTGATTCTATGAGAGGCAACAGCGGGATACTGAGAAGACTGAACATTCTTGCACAACATGCAACGTCAAGACTGGGATGACATACCCTCAACCCACATTCAATCCATAACCCCGCTGTAAGATTCTGCGGCCGCTGAAGTGCACGGAGGCGGCGCGGGTAGTGAACAGTTCGACCACGCGCCGAGAGCATACAGCGTCTGGGAACTTATAGGCTTCAAGGACAATGTATATCAGAGAGCTCGGGTGCTTGGACGAGAATTGACGGATGGGAACATGGATGAACATGCACCTACTGAGCGCTTGCGAATCATGCTCATTCTCAGAGAGCGCGACTGTGGGAATCTTTGGAGGGGGATAAGTTCAGGTGGAGGTATACCTGCAATGTCTTTCAGAGGCCAACGCCGTATTATGCCTCGCACCGAATGACCTCGCACCGAATCTGAAACGTTACTTACAATCAGTACGCGCCCAATCCGTCATCAACTCTTAGACCCCGTACTGAATTCTGCATAACTGCGCGGGAGATGAACTTTGGCAAGGGCGGCCGAAAAATCAATCGTCTGGTACGCTGTACTCACGTCTACAGTAAAGTCGGGAATGATTGCAGAGGACACGCGAGAGGACTCAAGACTCGTCCGAGGGCAATCCTGGACCCGAACATGAAGAGGATGTGAGAAGCGATAGGCAGAACACAAGGGTGCCCTTGATGTTGCAGGGTCGACCTGATAATCAGACCCGACTGTACGGTCGAAACTCCTCAGAGCACAGCCGAGCGCGCCGAATGTCTCACTAGTCAGGATTATTCGACCCTCCCAAGCTGCAAGAGCGGCCTCGCACTGCTGACAGCACTTCGATGACGCCGCTCACTCCAAAAGGGTGCCGAGCCCTCAACATGGACGGGCCAATGCTGATCACCCAGCGCTGGCAATATACCGGTTCGCTGCTAGAGGCATCCCAAATGGAGTCCGAGTAGATGGTGTCGGAGCATCGCGCCGCATCCCCGATGCATCGCCGATGCATCGCCGATGCAAAATCGGGCCCCACATTGGCTCCACTTGCGGCAAGATCCTCCGAACCCCACTCGGACCCCCTTTGGGAGCCTGGAGCTTTGCTTTCTGCAACGGGCGCGTGCCAACACGCAATCTTTCTCAAGCGATGATGCTTTGGCAATTCCGTGTCCCCACCTCCGACCTTCCGAGAAGCTCGACTCAACAACCACTGGCCCTGCAACAACCGACTGTGCTGCGCACCCGCGTGGCCCGCTGCAGAAGCCCTTTGGGACAACAATCCTGACCTCTCATGTCGGGCACGCGCTAACCTGGGTCAGTCAGCCCAGGCCACGTCACGAACCCCGGCCGGCCGATCAGTAGCTCGCAACCCCAGGGGCAGTGGAGGGAGATGCACGGGCGGTCGGGCTCCGCGTGGCTCCCCAAGCTGGGTCCGCCAGGGGGGATCGGAGGGGACTGGCTGGCCCCCTGGCGCTGACCCCCTGGCTCAGGCCGCCCCTCGCTCTGCTCCCGCCGAACTCCTGAGGGGCCTCCGGCTCGGGCGAGGAGGCCGATCTCTCCCCACTGTCCTCCTGGTCCTCCTTCGTGAGGCCTACGTCCACCTCGTCCTCGTCCTCCTCCTCCGCCACCTCCTCCTCATCCTCCTCCTCCGCCTCGAGGCTTTGGTCCACCTCGTCCTCCTCCTCCTGCTCCTCCTCCTCCTCCTCCTCCTTCTCCTCCTCCTCCTCTGCCTCGAGGCTTTGGTCCACCTCGTCGTCGTCCTCCTCCTCCTCCTCCTCCTTCTTCTCCTCCTCCTGCTCCTGCTCCTGCTGCTCCTCCTCCTCCTCCTCCCTCCGTGCCACTCCCGGGCTGTGTTCTGACTAGAACTTTGAGGCGAATCCAGCCGTGGCGACGAGGGCCTACCATAAGGCCCAAGCAGGCGAAAACGAGGGAAAGGTGGCGGTGCCAACATCCCTTCCTCCTTGATCCTCCTTCTCGCCCGGCCGCCCCGCTCGGGAGAGGGGAAACGGAACACCCGCATGGACCCGCTGACGCGGCGGGACCCATGCATCCGACGTCTTTTGTTTTTTCCAATGCGGGCCGGCGCTTCTTCCCGAGTCGGTCTTCGACCGTCCACAGGCTCGGAAAAGGGGGCCCCTCGAGGCCGAGAACGGCCCAAAGCCTCTCGTCGTGCCAATACTCCTCGACGCGAGCATATGTCTGGGGCCCGCCGGCCGCGGCGAGGCGAGAGTCGGCGGCGAGCCTTCGGGGGGGAAAGTTATCGGGGGCGGGCCTTCTCAGAGGGTCTCTCCAGCCTTCCGGGGAGCTTGCCAGGCCGTCTCCGGAGACACAGACGGCTCCTCAGAAGGCGCGTGAGGAGGAGGAGGAAGAGGAGGAGGAGGAGGAGGAGGAGGAGAAGGAGGAGGAGGAGGAGGAGGAGGAGAGGAGGAGGGGGTGATTATTTTTTTGGGGGGATTTTCTGCCCTCTACCAAGGCACGTCTTCGCCGTGGGCGAGGTGCCGTCGCCCCGCGCTCGGCGTACAGCTGCCACGCAACTTTTGACAGCGGTGGGCTGTCCTGAAGCCTTCGACGGTGCGTCCACCGTCGTCGTGCAGCCGCCGCGGGAGCTCTGGCAACGCTGGGCTGCCCTGAAAGGGTTGAACGGTGCCTGCCAACAAGAAACGGCACCGAAATCTTCGATCCGACGGTCACCCCAGTCCCGCGGAGAAGCCCCGCCGCCTTCTGAGAAGGCCTGCCCCCTCTCGCTTCCCCCCTGGGCCCGCTGCTGCGGCGGCGAGAAGCTGGAGGCCTCCAAGATGGGATCCGAGCAGATGTGGTCGGAGGATCGCGCCGATGCATCGCCGATGCATCGGCGACGCCCTGGAGATGCATCGTCGGCGACGTCGGCGTGGAGCAAATCGGCCTCCACATCGAGCCGCATCGCCGATGTGGGGAGAACAGTTCTCGTGTTGGGAGGAAGGGGTTGGGAGGATGAAGGATGTGAACACTACCATTCGGACGCGATGCGCGAGACCTTCGACCGCCTGCGGGTAGTTTTCTGATTTCTCCCAACCCCGTCCTCCCAACCCGAGAAGTGTCTTCCTGATTCCGATGCGTCAGCGATGCGGCGCCATCCTCCGACCCCCTCTACTCGGACCCCATCTGGGGGGGATGGAGGGGCGCGCAAAGGGGGGCGGGGCGCCACGACACCGCCGCGGCGGGCACCGGGACGAACCGCACGGGCTGCGGGCTGACGGCGCGCATGGGAGCCACCACCTGGCGGGCGGCGGTCGCTACTGCGGCCGTTGTGCTGCAATCGAGAACGCCTCCTCCTTCTGTCGCTGTCGCTGTCGGACTTGGAGTTCGCTTCGGACGTGACTACCCTCCTCCTCCTCCTCCTCCTCCTCCTCCTCATTCTCCTCTAGTTGTTGTTGTTGTTCTTCTTCTTCTTCCTCTTATCGTTATTCTTTATAGTATTCGTCTTCTTCGTCTCAAAACTATTCCCCAATCAAAGCTTGCCTCTGTAGGGTCCTGGCGGATTCATATGGTTGGGTTAGCTGCGTCGTCAATTTTGGCGGCCCGCCCGGGTGCCCGGGAGCTGCGTCGCTGATCTCGGCGGCCCGCCCAGGTGCCCGGGTGCCCCATAGCTCTGTAGCCCTGTAGCCCAATACCCCTACAGCCCTACAGCGTCATAGCCCTATAGCTCTATAGCCCTCTTCACAAGGGACTCTTGAGCAGAGAGGTACCCTTTCACTATCGTCTCTCGATGCCGTGCAAGAGTGAGAGCTGGCCCTTGCTGGCAGAGGTAAGACATCGCGCCCCGCGCCAGCCCCCACCTTTCTTGGTTCGACGCCTAGCGAGGATCTCCCTATAAACTCTCCAGTGGAAGCTGGTTCATCTCTCGCGCAAGCCACGAATCCCGCGCGATCTCCATCGCGGTGATCGGACTGGGCCCTGTTCGATGGAAGCGGCCAGGGGCGCGGCTCTTCCGGCGACCTATTGCTAGCGCGGCCGCCGCGCTGCTTGCGACCGCGGAGATCAACGGTTCAGTGGGTCTGACACGCCCGCCCCGCCGGGCCCCCGGTCCTCGCGGCGTTCTTCGGCCGGGCCTTGTCTTCAATGGTTCTCGCGGCAACTCCTTCCTTGAATTGCTTCCTGGCCTCCTCCCTCTCTCGTGGCGAGGCCGCGCGAACTGCGGCCAGCGCTGACAGTGGCGCGCCGTCCACCGACGCGGGGGCGTCCGGGCGGTCTGTCCACGCGGGCAAGCCGCCGCCCGACAGCGGTGCAGCTCCCCCGCGCGACTCGGGGCGACCGGGCGCCCCTCCAGCCACTCGCCCAAAAGGGGGGTCGCCCGCGCGGAGGTCGCACTTCAAGCTGGCCACGAAGAGCAGCAACATCCATCTCCGAGCTGGTGTCGAGGATGGGCAGCGCCTTTGCGTCTGGGCTTCCGCCGACGCCCCGGCCAGCCTCCTAGCCGCTGGTCGTCCTCTGCGGCGCCCGAACAACTGGGCCAATCGCTCCGCCGCGGCCTTGGTGCCCGACGCCAGTGCCTCGGCCTCCACCGAGAGGCTCAGGCCCCTGTTGTTGGTGGGGGTGAGCTCGAACCACTGTGCCGTTCGTGAGTGCCCATCTCGCATCGTCTTCTGCAGCGCCTTGATGCAACGGGATATATAGTCAGCGCGCGAGCCGGCTTGCCTGCTACAGTAAGGTCGGCCGCCTCCGTCAATGTGCGTAGCTCGCGAAGCCCTTCTTCTCTGACCTCTTTGATGGGGCGAGCTGGCTTGGGGGCCCACAGCAGGATCTTCACCACCGCAGGCGTGAAACTCCCCGGCGAAGCACCAGCGTCGCCATCGCCTATGAACCTGGCCATGTTCTCCATATCCTTGTCGGACAGCCAACCAGGAAACTTGTGGGTGGCCCTCTCATAGGCCAGGCGGCGAGCCGCCGCGGGCCGAGCTTCAGTGACTTGCTCCTCGTCGCTGTCTAGGAACTCGTCGTCGCTCTCCTTGAGGTAGGAAACATGCGTGCGAAGGAAGGCTTTGTCACTTGTCATCGGTCATCGCGCGACTGGCGCCCTCAGCAGTGCAGCGCCCCCCCCGGCGTCTGACCAATGACTCGTGCCTG